ACTTACCAGCAGACAGTATTTGTGAAATAGTCGATGATGAAGAAAAGAAAATTGAAAAAGAGCTTAAGGGTGCTTTAAGCAAAACTTCATTTGATAATAGCGAATCAAAAAGAAAATTAGGAAAAAAGAAAAACGTTACCTTTTGCGAACAAGTTGTTTTAGTTGCGACTGCGGAAGAAGATGAAGTGGATAGCTATATACCAAATCCTATTTTGGAAAGGGTTCTTAGATCAGTACTCCACAAAGATATACCCATTGAACCAAATAGGGAAGTAACAAAATCTGTTATTCCGTTGAAACGAAATGACTCTGGTCAATTCAATCGAAGCAATTTATCTTTAAAATCTTGTTATGACAATAACAAAGTTGAAGAAAAATCTAATTTTGAAGTCAAAGAAGAGTTACCACCTAAAACGTATCGCATGTCTCCTGTGCAACAATTGCCTCAAACACTTTCATCCATGGTGGTACAACCCAAACTTAAAGCACCTCTACCAGAACAAATTCAAAAACCTGTAGAATCTGTAAAAAATTACCGTATGTCACCAATTCAACATTCGACGACTCTAAATCAATCTCCATTGACACAACAAAAATTCAAATCTCCTTCTACTTCGCAAATAGCAAATGCAATGTCAAATTTATCGATTAATTCAATGGAGAGTATTCAGTCGGTTCAAAATCAATCCTCGACCACGCATAGGTTTTATTCCAACAACCAACAAAATAATATCTATCCTCAACAGTATCAAAGTCTTTCTCATATGGGACATCAAAAACCATTTTTAAACAATGAACCACATTCACTCAACTATCAATCAATGAGTGAGAACAAATCAAGTTGCTCGCCTGTAAACTGTAGATCAAATCAGTCTTCTTTGGAGAGGAATCAAACGATCAGACAAGCGAACAACGGTGTTTCGTCGAATTGTTATCCACAACAATCACCTGTTGAAGGCAGGAGCGGTCATTTTAGATACAACGGTGACAGTCAAACACAGCTCCGGCTTCACGGAAATCAAACATCAAATTCGGAAACAAATACCCACCAGTATCAAACTAACCCAGGATCTCCTAGAATACCTTACCCACAAAATAATGCACGTTACAATGTTTCAAACGTTGAACCAGGTGGTCAATATCAAAATAACAACGAAAGCAGATCTTACAATAACCACGGTCAGATTCCCCAGTACCAATGTCAACCACTTGAGAGGTTGAACAGTAACAACGTCAGTCATGCGACCGACAACCGGACGTGTTATCCCGGACAACCCAGTCCCGTCCAAGTACAACACAACAATCTCAACATCAATAGCATCGGCCGACACCAATCGAGTCCCACAACGGTTGGTAGCGACAATGGCAATAGAACCACCTACGGGCAGACGCAACAGCATCAATTCGATAGATCGAACTCTTCGATAAACTGTAGCGACAAGCCCGCAATCAACCAACACCATCATCAACAGCAGCAGCAGCAACAACAACAACAGCAGCAGCAGCAGCAGCAACAACAACAACAGCAGCAGCAGCAGCAACAACAACAGCAACAACAACAGCAGCAGCAACAACAGCAGCAACAACAACAGCAACAATTTATTGATAGGCTCAACGTCGCGCCGCAGTACGGTGTAAGTAGCGAAAACGGCAACAAAACAGGTTACCTGCAACAGGGAGTGTCCGCTAACCAAGCGCAGCAGTTGGAAAGGATGTCCCAACATTACGATAACAAGACTGGCGGATACATTCAACAGGGCCTAACCTCGACGAATATGTCACCACAGCAACAGCAGCAACAGTTTGGAGACAACTATAACAATAACATCAACAACAACAACAACAACAACAACAAGACGTGTAGCAATCAATCGCAGCAGCCGTCGGTACAACAGTGTTCGCCCGGCTACGTGCACACCGAATCAAGGACGTCATCAGGGTACTCGGTAACGCAGCCCGACAACAGACCCGCGCAGGCTCTCCCTGCCGGGTACCCACGAAACTCGGTGGATGTGAAACCTGGTCCACACTCGCCGGGAGTGTTGCTAAGGCAGCGTAGCATGGTCAATGGTTTTCATTCGATGCCGTACACCCGACAACCCTCGGACACCGTGGCCCACCTGCCACCGGCGCACCCGAAAAAGGACGCCGGGCAACTGACCAACGGTTTCGCGAGGTCGCCCGCCGAGTCGGCGCACGGCTCATCGTCGTCGCTGGACCGGAACAAGCAGCTACACCAGCAGTACGGCGGCCAGCCGGACGGTACGGCGCCATCGCTCCAGTCGCCGTCCAAGGTCCGCCCTGTCAGCTCGTCGTCGTCGTCGTCGGCTGTGTCGGCAGTGCAGAGGACCAACACGGTGCGCAGGCCAATGACCGTTTACGAGCCTCAACAGTTACCGCCTTACCAGCACCCGCCGGTCCCGGTGGCGTTCAAACAGCAACAGTTGCAGCAGCCGTGCAGGCTGCCCAACGGCCAGCCCAGGTCCACGACGCCCAACGGCAACGCGGCCGCCGCCAACGATCCGGGCCGGTACGCCGTTTACCAGCAGCCGCCGTCACCGCGGTTGCAGGACAAATGCGCCAATGGCATGATGAACGGCATGCCCAGGCCGTCGCCGTGCAACCTGTGCCGCAAGAAGGCCGTCAACCACCCATCCATCTACTGTTCGGACTGCGATTTTTACATGTCAAGGTTCAAGCCCAAGGCTCAATCGACTACGTGCTAACATGATATAATATTATGATACATATAGGTACTGTTTGCGAAAATTTTTTATGCAGCACGTGATCTCTTCAATTTTGTATCTGTGATATTATACAACAGTTAATTAGTAATCGTTTTATTATAGGTACATTATTAAGTTTCTGATGTTATTATTATATCGTATTAGTATATATAGTTGAAAAATACTATAATTTGAATTTTGTCTTTGTATGTGGTATATATTATACCTAAATTATTTTTATTTCTTTTTACCATGCATTTGATGATTGATTGAAAATTGTTTTTGAAAAACTGTAATTTTTTTTTTCATTTATAAGATACATTATATATTATCGTTATTTTATATTAAATGATCTCAATACCATATTGTAATATACATTTTAATGATTAAATGTGTGTAATATCGTAAGGATGACATTTTAGATGTAAAAACATAATTGTAAGATTTGCCATGTTCGATTTATAGAATATATTAATATTAATATAAGCCCACCTCTTTCATCAATGTATTTATTGTTTAAGATAATTTTTTATTTAAATTATGAAGAATAAAATATATATTTTAATATATGATAATAATATACTTGTCTTTTATAATATTATGTTTAGTATAGGAAAACCGAGAATGTAAGTATTTCATATTCTAAATTAAATTAAATTAAATTAAATCAATAATTATGGTGATACCTTAAATATGCCAAAAAACAATATTCTAAGTATTGTTTAAGCCTCTGAAGAATAATGGTTTCTTAAAAATATATATACATATACCTATTACTTATTTTATGTACTCTGTATAATAAAATAATAATGTGCGTAATGGTGACAATAAGTGAAATGTTTCAAGTCAATATACTATATATAATATTCAAACAAAATAATAAATCAATTATTTGAAGAACAATTTTTAATGTACCTACGTAAAGTATGTTTAATTATTAAAGAAATTGGATCCATTGTAAAAAATTAAACTTCAAATGATTATAAAAAAATGTTAACTAATAACTAAGTATTTTCGATACTAAGGTTAAAAGGACGTCATACCCGCTTGTGTTGTCTCCGTCTTACAAATGTACAACATAGCAAAAACTGTTTTGCCTGGAACAACTTTTCTCGGACCATATTAGTTGTAGAATTCCAAATTTTCACAACACGTAAAGAAGAACTTTATCCGTGCAACAGAGTGCTTTTTTTTAATAGCACAATCCAATAATTTTTGATAAGCAAATGAAAAAAATAAAAAACGAAATGTTTAGAAGCAAATAACTTTTATTGTATTTATGATATCTAAAATATAGGCAATCTGTTTTTCTACCCTATATGTTCAGAAATGTTGGAGCCACTTCTACAAACGCAGAAAGATAAAAGTTGTCCCGCGCAAAACAATTTTTGCTATGTTGTACATTTATAAGACGGAGATAACACATGCAGGGGTGACGTCCTCTTAAATGTATTTGGAACACCTATAAATACTCAAAAACTGAATGAACAATAATATTCCAATTTCTGAATCAGTATTTGGGTGCTTCATAAAAAATAATAATAATATTCAGAATTGAGTATACAAAGTACGTGGCACTAGTGCCCCCCAGTGATATTTGAATGCTACCCAGTGGTGGTGGATGATCGTGCCACTGACCAACACATTCTCATAACGACCGATGCTAATGTCAATTATTATGTATAATAAAATATATAAACAACATAAAACTATTTTAAGCTCTCGACTCTTGTATAGTATATCCCATATTATATAATAAACAATAATATTTTATTGAATGTAGAACATGTCACATGCACACAATTATTTTGTTGGAATTGTTAATATAATATATAGATATAAAGTACGAAAAAATATAGATGTAGTACCATTGGTTATAAATACTATTTATAATCAATGGTAGTACGAAAACAATACACGTAAATTTAATTTATCAATTTCTTCGGAAGTCATCGACCGTCATCGTAAATTGAAGGCTGGATGGGAATAACGTGCTATGTTACTACATTTCTGATTTTCTACTTATTTGCATCCTGTGCTCCTGATGAAAAGGACAGGCGACCATACAGTGTACAAACTAAATTTTATATTACGTTTATACAATAATTATAATTATTATTTAGGAATATTCATATTTCATAGCACGGAAATACTTATACTCGTCTACAGTGGCGTAGCCAGGATTTCTACAAGGGGGGGGGGCCAAAAAAAAATTTAATAAATAACATACAAATAACAGTGTTTTTAATCTTTTAAAAATTTTCAACAATATTTTTATTTTGTCCAGTCCAATATTTGTACCCTTCTTGGAGATCTCTTTATAAAAGCTGGTAAAATGTATTTTTCAATATCATCACAGTCTAAATCATCTTTGTTTATATTAGCTAGAGCTAAGCCATTTAATCTTTCTCCAGTCATAGTAGCTCTTAAATAAGTTTTAAGACTGAAAATGTACGCTCAGGCGTAGCTGAAGTTACAGGCAATGTAGCAAACAATTGTAGAAGTTTCTTTACATTTGGCAAGAGCTCTGTACAATGTTGAAGTGCTTCAACGGCAGACCCTGGAAGATTTGTTTCTGATTCCCACTGTTTTTTCCAAATAAATATTTCTGCTTTTAAACATGACATCATGCTAACTGAAAAATCATTTTCATAAACAGAAGCAGCCGCTAAAATAGATGTATCGTCATAGTGTCCAAAATTAGTTGGTATTAATCCTTCTAGTGGCATCATTTGTTGAAGTCTTTTATCAAATCTATAGTGTAACTGATTTATTAAGTTATCAAGAAATGGTATGAAAATTGATATTTTATAATACTCTTCAGGGTCCTTAGCATTAACATTAACTCTGTTAGTTTGTCTCCCACATGTTCTAGGCATGGTTATTTCTGCACCAACTTTTAAAGCTAATTCAGTGACACTAATCATTATTTCTTTGAAAGCCTGATCTGCATTTTTACGTTTGGTTTCTAAAGCTTGTCTTACTGCTGTAACATTCGCCAATGCTTTAGACAAATCTTGTTGTTTACTCTGTAAGACTTGACTTAACTTGTAATGTATAAGAAAAACAAGTTACAGCAACTTCAAGGGAAACAAGAAAATCACTTTTTGTTATTGCACTGACATATAATGATGCTTTACTTGATGTCTCAGGATTTGAATCATGACATTCGAGATCTTCAAGACTCAAGAGTAGCAACAGTATAAGTATAAAGTTCTTTATCTGTTTATCTGTTCAATGGTATTTGTATCAGTTGTTTCATCACATAATATTGAGAAATATTTAGATGTTTGAATTCTATTAACTATTTTATTTTTTATTACATCACCAATTGATTCAATGATCTCATTTTGAATGGAAGGGCTTATCATTGTGCAATTGTTAACTGCAGTGTCAAAATGTAAATAAGTTGTCTATAAAAAAAATAGTAGTGCAAGTGACACTCTTATCAATCTATGGTGTTTTGATAAACAATAAACATTAATTTTTTTTTTAAATTTAAACTCCAAAACGGTACATAGCCAAAATTTATTTAAAATTATTTACGATTATTTTTTATATATTATAAGATACGACCAATGGGGGGGGGGCCATGGCCCCTGTGCCCCCCCTGGCTACGCCACTGCTCGTCTAATATGATACCATTGATTATAAATGATAAAGTAATCTATAGTGTTTATAATAAATGATGATACCTACTCGGATGTACGGATGTACGATGTACATTGTACCTACACCAGCGGCGTAGCGTGTGTGTATTGTAGTATACGCCGATGACAGACGTACACAAATAAACAAACGAATAATAATATAAGCACTTTTATTAAAAACTTTTACGTCCAGTGGCGATCGAGTTACACGATCACCACCTGGCTCCACTGGTGGTCAGTGGTAGTCGAGTCACACGACCACCGCCAACTGACTTTCTATCTGTCTTTCCATATTACTTATATATTAATATTACAATCGAAGCACTATTAGTAGTATCGATATTAAGTTTAACCTAGTTGCATTATACTTACTGACTATGCTTAAAATTATACTAATTGTTATTGATTATTGTATTAGATAATAATTGATATCTTATCCTAATTTGGTGGAATGCATAATTGTTTCTATGTTGTTACTTAGCTTATTGAGTATTGTATGATTTGATTTGTTTTGGTATTTTACCTATTACATATGAATGTTTACTTAACCTAGTTAACAATATTTTTTATATATTATGCATGATACAACAGTATGTATAGTATGTACATTGTACAACAACATTTCAACAATTTTAAAATAATTTTAAAATGTTGCACTATTTCAGTATCTTATAATAGTATAGGTAATATTTTGTGGATTATCTTCATAGTTTATTTGATTTTAATGATTTATCCACAACACCATTGTTAAATTCGTTAATATTTCACTATTTAGTGGCTATAGTACCTACCATGTGTCCATGTTTATTGTGTACAGTGTACACACTACACAGAATGCATGTAAATTAACGTTGGCGATTGCCTACAGATACGACCATACCGGAGTACTAATTAATACTTAATAACTAAACTACTAAAGAGCGGATCTTTAGGTTTTTACATATTTTTTTGGCTTTATGCAACTTTACGAGGATGAAAAATTAGTACTAATTATCCATCGCTGAGTTCGTAGGACTGCAAGTGCCCCATACAAGTTATTTATTGTTTTCATTGAACTATTTTAGAAAAAAAAAATCATATTATCTGCACATTTATAAGTTTAAGGAATATTTAGAGAATATTTTAGGGTTTTTTTTAGAACATAATATTAGCATCATATTTTAAGCTTTTAACTTTTAAGGACCTAAGTATCCGCTCTTTATTAATACTGAATACCATTATGAGTGAGCTATTGAAAAGTTATTTTTAAAGCACTTCAACATTTTTTTTTCCATTGATTCCAAGTTGTAATTTTTAATTGTACCTAATACATATTTTTTTTTAAATACAGATACTGATAGCAATATAATATATACTCTGTTCTACTTATTTTATCAAGGTTTTCTTATTGAAAAATCGGTTATGTTATGCAATATTATATCAAAATAACCGATTTTTATTATGTCTATATTATCTTCGTAAAAAAACCTTTGTAAAACTTGTAGATATATTTTTGTTGAGGTAGAAGAGTTGGTTTCCCTTCTATGTTCCTCTGTTAGACAATTTTATTGAAGTGCCACCCAGTGAAAATTACTTAAGATATGCTCTGGTTAATATAATATATGTATTTGTATACTAGGTGATTCTTTTATCATGAATCACTCATTATTCAAAAAGTATTAACGGTTTTGAAAGCAATTTGATTTGCTTCTGATCAAAAAAACTACATTTAAAAAAATATACGATTATTTTTGGGCTGGCTTATTTGGCTGTAGATGCCTACGGGCAGTCTTGTAAAGTATTCGAATAAATGTATTCGAATAAAAGTATTTGAATACTCTTTTTGTATTCGAATACTATTCTAAATACTTTTTTTTAAAGTATTCGAATACGTATTCTGAATACTTTTATTTGTATTTTTTATTCATTAAAAAAATACTTTTTCCGATCCAGTAAAATAGTTTCAAATTTGTGACAAGACATATTATAAATCATGAACATTAATTTTATTCTTTGAAAGAAATATAATTTTGGCCCATGATATGATTATTTTTATAAATACCAATGTGTTTTATCACGTATAGTTCGTATCGGCCGTATTATATGTGGTCAAAATTTATAAATAGCTTATGATTACAAAGTAATTTTAATTATTAATTAATAAATGTTAATTAGTAATTACCAACCATTCAAAAACTGACAACAATTATTTGTGAAAAAAAGTATTCTAATAGTATTCGAATACTTTTCAAAGTATTCGAATATGTATTCTGAAATCTGAATATATTTTTTAAGAACTATTCGAATACGTATTCTAAATACCTTAATTCTCATTTATTCGAATATGTATTCCGAATACAAAATAAAAGTATTCTTTACAAGACTGCCTACGGGCTACAGTGAGTTGATATTAGACAATCATTTACATCTTATTTTTAATGTGTAGATGTGTTATACTGTTATTAATACTAATTATTCGTACCTAATTACTGAATGATAGCAATACAGCATCTAGACATTCCAAACTTAATAATTTATTCATCCTTTTGAGTTTAGATAGGTAATAATACTAATAATGAATATATATTTCAAGTTTAATGAAGATTGGTCCGGTAGTTTTGGAAGATAATGATATATAGGTTAGCAATAAGCCAATAACAAATTTCGTTAAGCTGATAGGAGGGGTCAAAAAAATTGTATCGTGATTAGTGATTTTAAAATTTATATTACTTATAGAACTTATTTGGAGCCTTGGAGGCTCGTGGATATTTAACGAAGTAGTGCACATCCAAAAATAATATAACCAATATTATAAAAAATATATATATATATATGTATTATATTATAAATTGTATTAAATAATTGTTTACAAATTTTAGTTATTTACCAATTAGCTTTTATTTTTTTAATATTTTTAAACAGAAACACGATTGTTGTTTTGAATTTCCGATAATGTACTTGTGCACATAATATGTATACACGTACTGCTACTATTTTTTTTTTATAGGTATTAATTCATTATTTCATTGTTCCAAATACGGTAAACACGTTTTGTTACTGGTCACACCCATAGATTGTATAAGACTAGATTATATTATCTATGGTCACACCGAATAGCGTCCTTGATAAGTGATAGTAGCACGTACTGATAAGAAATTGATGTTTGAAACGACTATAAAGTATTATTCATAGTAAAATAAATAGTAAATACTATTATTTTACTTTTATTTTAGAATTATTTAATTATACTGTTTTACTCCTGAATTTCTGATTAATTGTTATTATTATTGAACTTACCTGTTATTATTTCATACAGTTAATGTATAATTCGTGTCGTTCAATGATGGACGCAGTTTAAGAGAAGTTTCGTCTAGTCCTCGTTAACTTTGTTGTGGCAATGTCGATCGTTAACTATGGCTGCAAAAAAAGTATTGATGAAATGCAAATTTGAAGAAGGCGAAAAAGTACTGTGCTACGAGCCAGACCCTGCAAAAACGAAAGTTCTATACGATTCTAAAGTAATCAAATATCCACGTACCACCCCACTTGCAGCATTTTAATGAATCATTTTTGTTTTAGGTTTTAAGAGTGGTACCTGAAAAAGATGACCAAGGTCGCAAATTCTGTAAATTTCTCATTCATTTTCAAGTAAGTGTAATATATTTTTGACTCTTCTACAAGTAAAAATGTGAATGCATTTTTCAGGGATGGAATTCCACGTGGGATAGATTTGTAACGGATGAATTTATTCTAAAAGATACAGAAGAAAATCGCAAGCTTCAAAAAGAACTGGCTGAAGAAGCTCAACTTACGCCGTAAGTGTTGCATTGTCATTGAAAGGTTTGGATAAATTAGAACGATTCTGTTGTTTCAGTGGTGGGAATTTGTACAGAAAAGAACGGAAGAAAAGAACAGTTAAACTTGAACCCAAACTTCTAGCAATAGAGCCAGCTGTAATTACCATAGATGATCCGTCTATGGTGGAAAACGAAAATGTACCAGTACCTATTGATACAATACTGTTACCTAAAAGAAGGTTACCAGACCTTGAGTTTCCAGATAATTTAAAATACCATACTGGATATAATTGTTATTTAGTACACCAAAAGAATACAGTAAGAAATAGTAGTGCACATTAAGTTTAGCTAGTTTTTTCTTATATTTTTCTTTTTATTATTACCTATCCAATTAATATGATTCTAGTTGGTTCAGTTACCCTGTCAACCTAATGTGGTTACATTGCTTGAAAGCTACCTTAGATATTTAGCAAGAAATAACTTCAGTGATAATAAAACAACAAAAAAAAAACGTCAACCTGAAGAACTTGACAAAAACCAACTAGAAAAACGGTTAGTTTATATCTTTTACTAGGAAATAAATCATTACATATAACTAACTTATATCTAATTTATTGCCGTGTATAAAAAATGGTATTTTAATTTTTAACTTCTGTTTATTATTTATAATTTAAAAAAAAATTAATTTTATAACTGTTGTTTTTTTTTAAATTTATAATAGTTACATAATTTGCGTAGAAGTATTAGATGGTCTGAGGATTTGTTTTAACACTTTCTTATTCAGAAAGTTGTTAATTAACGAAGACGAACAAGCCCAATACTATGAAGCATTAAAAGTGACTCTCCAACCACCTGTAAAAAATATTATTTCACAGTATGATCAAGTTACTTATTTTTATAATTCAAAAATATTTTTCTTTTATTTATTCATTAAATATTTTAATAATGTTTTAAGAAATGGTGAACAAGACTATGATAATGTACCAAATGACGAAGAATTGAAAAGCCACGATAACAGAAATAATGTTAAAAGTAAAATAATAAAATTTCCTTTTTTTTTAATTAAATATCTTTATATCAAATATTTGTACAATTATTAGCTAAACGGGACAACACACACAGTTCAACCAGTCAATATGCTAGTTCTCAACAGACTTGTTCAGATTGCAGGTATTTTATAGAATTTTATATTTTGTCCAAAACTAGAGTTAAATTAATGTGATATTATTTATAGTTTAACAAAATCTCAATGTTCAAAAATTGTAAAAGATACATTTGAAAAAGCCCGTGATGAGTATGTATCAAAAGCAGACTCTTGGAAAGCGGTTCCTGACAGTGCATATGATGAAGAAATGAAACAGCCGGCTGTTGTATATGGTGTATACCATCTTTTAAGACTTTTGGGTATTAATTTAAGAATTAATATTAAATTATATTTAAAGCGTATTGTAATATGTTTTTTTATCAAAAAAAACTTTTTTATACATATTACTGTCAATCGAATGCACAAAGAATATCGATGGCGACAATACAAAAAGGCATAAGCAACATTTTCGAAATTATTCAGGAGCCAAAAAACTATTTTTTAACAATAATTATATTTTAAATTTAGAAAAATATGATAAAAAAAAAAGATGAGTTGTACTCTATTTAAGACAATTATTGTTCTTCCATTTTTTTCAGTAAAACATTTATATCAGTTTGAATTGGGTATTTTTATATAATTTGGTGCTCATGCCCCATTAATTTCCTTACCTATAATTTTAGTTCTAGTATTTTGGTGCTTATGTCCCATTAATTTTCTTCTTGTGTGAATATTTGCTCGAAAAATTAATAATTATTATAAAAAACAAAATATAGTCTATCATAGTTAATTTTCATTGATAATAATATTATAATTTATAATCATTAATCATAAATAAATGACATGCTATTTTTTAATAGAAACGTTGATAAATATTCTCTTTGGAATAAAATGTTAATAACTTCATGCGATATTGCATTATTATTATTTATTGTCAACCGAACAGATAACAGAAAATAGTTTTTTTTTTTATAAAATCTATTGATCACTATAATAAAGATGTTGTTAGGCCCCATAAAGTAAAATCCTATGGTGCTTATGCTAACATTTAAAACTAATTGTCGCTTATTCCCTATTTATACACATACCTGTTAATTAATTTACACTTTTACACATCTAAATTTTCGTTTTATATCATAAAAATAATTGTGTCGATAAATGAGTGAGAGCAATCGATAGAGAATGACATTGCTTATGCCCTAATTACAAAAAATAGATTTCATAAAAAGTATCGCTTATGCCTTTTATGCATTGTCACCATCGACATTATCAGTTCAATAAATTATTTCTGAGTCTATAAAATTCTTTAATAAAGTTATAGATTTAGAATTTAAACATTTGAGTTCATTGCTAATAAAACTAATGTTACTAAAATATGTTTTAATTATTTTTAATTTTGTTTAGAAAAATAATTTTTTTTTTTTTAATTTATAGAAAATTTGCCAAAAATATTAGCAAACACTGAGGTGGACGGAGAAAAACTTTCAATTGTATATTTATACAGTAATGGACTTCTGAAGTAAATATATTTTATTATTTTAACTATATAAATCTTAAAATTAACACCTTTTGGCTGTTTTACAGTGAGGGGTGCACAAGTGTGCACCTATATTGACTGTAGCGTGTGGAAAATCTCTATTGTTTTAATCCACTGATTGGTTTACAGCAATCTCCCATTCTTCTATTTTATCCGCTTTCTATTTCATTTCTACATATTATGAGTAACATCCTTCGTCTTTTGTTCCTTCTATAATCAGTTTTATCAATCCTTCATGCCACATTATATGGCTTATCCATTTGTTTTGTCTTCTAACTATATTTTTCCATTGTAACTTTCTTATAGAAAATTACATTTTTTAAAACTATTTTTGATATGAATTTATAGTTTGTCAGACTCATAATCTATATTAATTAATTGACGGAAAAAACAAGTAATTTAAAATAAAATACATATTATATTTGATATGAGTTAAATAATTATTTTTTATTTAGATAAAAAAAAAATTAATAACGAGACAATTTGATTAGCACAATCACCCCATTATAAGGGCTATGGTACCCTAAAAGGACCTAAATGGAAACTGCACAGATATTTTGTAGCCTTTACTATTTCCCCGACTATCACCAATGAATAGTAGCAATATTTGGAATTTAATGCTATATGAAGGACTTTTACATTTTATTTAACATCAATGTAGAATATTAATTTATTACAGTTGATAACACAATTTATTTATCCATCCATTACATACATTGAATCAATAACTATTTAACTTTGGTTTATATTTTTGCATCTAACTGCCTTATTTTTAACACTTTTCTTAAGTTTGGTTACACGTCTGTCTGTGATCAAATCTTGCGCGCTCGATTTGAGGCACTTTTTGAAGATGAAAAATTCTGAAAATTTGTATAGACCTTGGTCTTGGATGACAATACAATAATCCGTAAAAAAATTTTTTTAACTAAAAAGTAGAAAATAAAAAATTAAAAAATTATTTTTAAAAAACACCCTTTTCTAAAAAAACAAAAAAATAATGAAAAATTTAAAAGTGTGTGGCGCTCTTAAACTTGACATATTATACCACACACTTTTAAATTTTTCATTATTTTTTTGTTTTTTTAGAAAAGGGTGTTTTTTTTAGTTTTAATAAGTCAATATTTATCTCAAAATGGATTTGTTTGACTGTTAAATATTTAATCTTTAATGTATCTAAGAACATCATATTATATCAAGGCTGTCAATACTGCTGTATACCATATAATGTAACATCATTGTTGCTGGTAGACTGCATAATATATATTATTTATTTATTTAATGAGCATAATTTAAAATTTTTTTTTTCAAGTGTCATCACTGGGTGGCTACTTTTATCAAGCCTTTTCATGTATTATATTTATCTCAGCTAATACTCTTATTGTACCCACGAGGTAAAGATTGTGTATATAATAATAAAGGAAAAAAAAATTGTAATTAATAAAATTATACCATCAATATTTTCAAAAAATCATAACAATCTAAAGAAAATGTGTTAGTACTTTGTATCTGTCTATTAAAATCAGTTGGTATATATTTTAGAAATTTACGATTAAGTCGTAATAAGATAACATTAGTTTAGTGTAGATCCTTAATGTCGTCTGGAAAGTGACGTCATATTGAAATTTTTGAGTGCTATGTCAATTATACTTCTAGTAATGCCATTGACTTATATGTAATATGATTGTGTTTTATACAAGATAATATTTGTATAGGTACCTCTCAACTCAAACTCATTTGTTTGGGATGCAGTATTATGTGAAAAGCAATATGGAGGATGCAGTAAAATCAAGTGCTCCTATGCGAAATCACAGAAACCATAAGAATATTTAAGTTGTTTTAAGGCACCCTTATATATTATATAAATATAAATGTACATATAATGGGTACATTAGATAACTGTCAATTATTTATGAAAATAATAAGTTAATATATTTTAACCTATCTTTTTAAAAATTTTCTCTTTTGTATATATACAAGACTTTTTATTATAATAGTGTATCAAGTGCGTGGTAGAAATGTCTGAAAAAAATATATCATATCATACATTATATTATATCATAAGATATTTATAAAAATGATAAAAATTTAATTAACATTAATTAATGTATTTTCAAAGAATAATTGATGGTTAATAACTAATGAGGATCACCCATAATACCTACCCAATTATTAAGGTTTAAACCTACATATTTAATATTATTGTTTAGGTTAAATAACACATTTATCTTTTTTATTTATTTACAAACATTTTTCATTTATTAATATTAAAGAAAAAAAAAACACAAATAATATATAATATTGTATGGGGAATCAATGTTTATTTTATTTTCCCTTATTTACTACGTTTGTCATCTGATTTCTCTCATTCTTCAATGACAAAAAATTTTTCTGAACTTTTTCCATTTCAGCTTTTATGACCGCGGCTTCGATTGAGTACTCTACGCATTTGCAAAATCCTTCTTGAGCTTTGCGTAGACTACCTGGTACAAGCACGCCAAAACGTTTGATAGGATCGTCTCCGTCATTGTTGCACGCCAAATGGATCACAGTAGTGTCCTCTTCTCGCACCACTGTAGAGCGAGCGGTGTACTGGCCGGACGTCGGTAGCTGTAGGTCGGACACGCTACGGTGGCCCATCAAGTACCTACTTTTGGCTAAGTGCACACAACCATCACGTATACAGTGTTGCAGCTTACTCATATTCGAATAATAGTCGTCCATTAATTCAATAATTTGTCGACACATCTCATCCAGTTCGTTGTCCACTTGCTTTGCCGTCCGCTCGAGACCCATTGTGATGATGTTTGAGCTTCGTTATATGATATATAATTTTGGGCGTCGACTACGGATCGAGTGCTTGACGTCTGAACTCTCAATTCTTTGAGTACCGAATAATGAAATAATGAACATTAATTAATAATTGTTTACGTCTGTTCGTATATTTGTAGAAAATACAATGATAAAGAAATATTATCATGCAACAGTAACTCGGCGAGATAAGACGCCGATAACTCCACCCCATAGCACGAGACCCATAGATAATATAAGATTCTATTATCTATATGACTATATTGTATAAATATGTATTGTACTCATTGTAGGTATACAAGCATAGAAATAATTAATATATATCTACCTTATACTCGGATTGTATTATATCGTTAATTATTAAAGATATATATCTTTAAGAGGACGCCACACCCGCATGTGTTGTCTCCGTCTTACAAATGTACAACATAGCAAAAACTCTTTTGCGAGGGACAACTTTTCTCACACCATATTTGTTGTAGAACTACCAAATTTTCACAGCACTTAAAGAAGAACTTTATCTGTGCAACAGCGTGCTCTTTTTTTCAATAACATACATACAATACAAGTTATTTGCTTCTAAACATTTGGTTTTTTAATTTGATTATAAAAAACTATTGGATGGTGCTATTGAAAAAAAGAGCACGCTGTTGCACAGATAAAGTTCTTCTTTAAGTGCTGTGAAAATTTGGTAGCTCTACAACAAATATGGTGCGAGAAAAGTTGTCCCTCGCAAAAGAGTTTTTGCTATGTTGTACATTTGTAAGACGGAGACAACACAGCGGGTGTGGCGTCCTCTTAATCGTGACACGGACTATGACGAGTATGATATAAGCATATTATATGCATAATTATATTACCTATGTCTAGTTTGAGTCTTTAGTTTCAAGTGATAATCGATGTACGTTTAAGCAAATCACCTACCTAGGTAAGCAAGTGAGCAACATGCAAACATCGTAATTCGTATCAGGTGTGGACGCAAGTCGTACGTGCATATTCAGCATTTCAGACATTTATAGTTTTATTAAAGTTTATTCAGTTTTATACAGTTATCTCTGAGGTGTCGTTAGAGTGAACTTCTTCCTCCACAAGTTGATGACGAACACGCATGTAAAAATTCTCTATTATTACCTTGTACAAATATTTGCTTATTGTCTTTTATAGTTAACAGATTGTAAATATCTTATTTAATAAAAAAAATATAGGTACCTACCCATACCTAACCTATCTAGATAATACTTCTATTATATAAGTTTAATATCAAAAATCATATTCGTAAAATGGTACTAGTTTAATCACGTAGGCAAGCCTGGATTAAGGGGGGGGGTGGGCCCAGGGCCCATCTTTATCCCTGAAATATATTTTTTAACGCATCAAATACAGCTAAAAAATATATATATATATTTAAGTAGGTAGGTATATAGTAGGTAAATAATTATTACTTCATAAATAGTACCTAATTATAAAATAAAATTGTTCTCAATTTTATATCACGAAAAATTACTATGAATAATGAACTGTGTTGGCAAACGCAATTTTAATTATGTTTTTTTTTCTGTGCATTTTCGATTACTGATTTAACTATTTAAGTATATTGGTAGTTATAAGAAAAAAATATTTAGCTCTTGTAAATTAGGTATTTCAGTTAAAAGTATTAATGCATATTATACTAAACTTTCGAGGACCATGGTTAATTAGTAATAACCTACCTGGCAAACTAAAATAATTATTGATCATTTGACTGTCAAAATGTTCAGACAAAAACCTTTACCAGAATCCATGAAAAAAATATAGTGGCTAGGAGGTACCATTTGAAAAAAATATAAAGTCGATTTTATTATTGGTACGAATGCGTGATTAAATTTTTTGAAAATGTTATAAAAAAAATGCCTGTTAAAAATAAAGAAACACGTCTTTTTTTGTTTTAACGAAATTCCATATCATCGATCTATAATTGTTAAAAAAAAAAAACTCCGAGTACTATGACATAAGATACACTCTGTATATTTTTTGCATAGTAAAAAATTATACAATAACATAAAGTCGTTAATAATATGCAATAGTACAATTATTTCGAAGTTAAAGTTGAAAGGGGGCCCACTAAGTGTATATGGTGCCCCTGGGCTCAATTGATCCTTATTCCGGGCTTGCACGAAGGTACGTGTTATGTGTTATTGAATCACGATCAAAACATTCTCACGTTTTATAGCTTACAGATATTAATATTATGGACAGTTAGGTTTAGACGGATACAGGTGCATAAAGCATAACTATATAATATCATATGGTTTTTAATAAGGTAATTGCCACGAAGACCTATATAAGTTAGTGGTCGCCTTACTTTCGTTTATTTATTTTTGTACCTACAATAACAATTTTAATTTGTCGGACTATATATATTTTAATTATTTTTTTTCTTTCGAAAACGCATCACAACCGTATAATATACCTATACACTGTAAGTATACGATTGTACCTATGCATAATATTAAACAGGTATATTCTATTTGTTGTGTACAATATAATATAGGTACCGTCTGTGCTCAACTGCCTTCGGGGTCGGCCTTAGACCATCATTCCAATACCTAGGATATTTGAGAGTTCATTGCATCAACAATTCCATTAACTAATTATACGGTGGCGCAACTACACAGGTGTATTGCTTGTGTACAGGGGGGGGGGAGGGGGCACGAGAAAATTTCCCGAGGGGATCCCCTTGGTAAAATTAATTTGGCCTCACTTTAGTTGTTCTGTGCAACATAATTTCATTATTATTATTCATATTCGACAATAGTGGTGGGAATTTCAACTCACTTAGATGATTCAACTCACTTAAATGAGTTGAATTATCAAATCAACTCTCAACTCTTAACTCTTTTAACAATTCTCAATTCATATATGGTTACCCAATTCCCCCGAGGGCAGGGCTAAATCATATTGATAACTGATTCACAGCCTCACAGGTCACAGCTCTCAACTCTCAAGCGTGTTTGAATAAATCTCAAAGTTTTGAGTTGGGTCACCCGAGATAACAGCTTATCATGGTTGCCGAGTCATGTGAATTGTGAGTTACTGATTCAGTTCACACTGATTCAACTCATTCAACTCACCTTTCACACTGATTCAACTCTTCAAATCAAACAACTCATGAATTACACACCTCTATTCGACAATGCCCAATCGGGGCGTAGTTTATTACGCGTAACTATAAGTATATTGTGTATACCTACATATACGAGCAGTATATGGCTATAAATATACAGCTCTCTTAAACTCTACAGTGTTTTTAAAAAAATTATTCCTTTTAAAATTGTACTTCTGTGATGTTACTATATTATATTAGGCAGTATAATATTGAAACTCAAAGATCGGGAAACTTTACATTTAAAAATTCAGTATTAACTATTGAGCCTACAAAATATAATGATTTGAATGTATGATTGTATCAGCATGATGTACCTACGCGTTTCATATTTGTATATAGGTATATAACTAACCTTTTTAAAATATTTCACATTGATACAACATAAAATATTCTATTTAGGTTCTGAAACAATATAATATATAATGATTAATGAATAATTATCACACAAATATGCTCACTTTTATCCTTTTATAATGCATTTATTCAAAAGCTCATTATTTTTATTTTTTGGGTACTATATTTTCAAATGCATAGATTTTTTTTATACCTTTTTGAGAGTGTTTAGTGAAGATATATAAACTTTTTTTTCCAAATACCATGGATTTTTTTTAAACGTTGATGCATCTAAAATATAAATCGTAATTATAATGAGACGTTTTTTTAAATATTATAATATAGGTACCTACCTACTAAATAATAAGTATAATAATATCCATTAAACGAACAAGTGGTTTTAAATATAAAATAAATATAAACAATTATGAAATATAGGTCAGCATTTAAAAGAATCATGTAATTAACAAAAGTAAAAAATGTTGGATAACATTTGAAAAAAAGAAGTTATTATCAACACAGCAGACTATAGTAGAAGGGTTAGGTTAGGTTAGAAGAGAATCGAAAGCATAGTCTCAAAATGGTCCAAAATTTTTTATTCTTGAAATGAATTCTCCAGAGTGGCGTCGGAAATTATGTCGGAATATTCTTATTTTTCTTTTTTTATGACAGCATTACTTATTTATAGACTATATTAAATAACATGAACTATAAGATAGTATCACGATCTATTTAGAAGCGACACTCGATCAGCCTATTGAGGTCTTGTTTATACCTATGATCGAAGTTTGAACCTCCGAAAACATGGAAACAAGTCGATGCGATATGTTTGCTTCCCTTCTGCAGTTTATTCTGTGATAGTACTTACTTAAGTGGCATACAAATCAAATTAATTAAAAATATCATCTTTAAGTATATTTAAAAAAACTCAGAATTCTAATAAACGTTTGATTAAAGAAAAAATTTGGTGCGACCAAGGGCATGGTGAAACACCAATGTGTACCCACATCCATATGTATTAAAATTATAATATGTGAATGGGTAAAAAATTACAATTCTTTAGAAAAATTAAATTTTCTGTAATTTTAATATTATTACTATCATGTAATTTATGTTGTTTATTATATAAATGTATAACAAGTACCTACCTGTAAAGGATATTTTTAAAATGTAAATCGATTGTTTGAAAACTGCATATTGATAAGCATTGATCATATTTTGTAATCACTAGTAAATATTGGTAAAATGCCGTTCATTTCTATGGAACAGGTATAGCAGCAATTCTTTTTCCACTTCCACAAATTATATCATTAAACTCCTTTTATTATCGTGCTTCTGCAGAGTCAACGATATAATTGAGAAGCCATTTTCTAACTTTAATCTCATTATCTGTGATTGACGATCTTCATTAAAATATCCATCCTCTTTTCCTATCTATTAATCATTGGCATATCTCGTCCGAACATCAATCCTTCATTTCTACAATAATCTCTTACAATCTCTTGGT